TGTTAAAAACAAACAAACTGTACTGTTTTTTTAAAATAACCCAAGGAACATTGGGTAATACTGCCTGATGCGGGATGTTTGACATTTTTAAATAATACAAGATTAAAGATGATTTTGGTAGTCAAATAACCTGTCATTTTCTCTTTGATTAGTCAACGATTATTTCAGTATCTCACCTGCTCAACTCTGTGAATCACCCTGTTATCTCATCCAACAGCAAATTAAAATAGTGACCCAGGGAACACATGAATTCAACTCAAAAGGACCATCAGAATAAAAGTAAAATGAATACAAATATTAAGTCCAAAATAAGAAGTTTCCAAAGTTTACAGATGAATCAGTTCATGGAGTCACAATTGCAGTGGACATGCTCTGGAGTGAGGCTTATCTTTGAGATGATGTTCCCAGCTGCAGCTGATAACCAGGCTAAACATGCTCTCTGTCATGACTTCAGCCATTTGAGAGGTGGATGAGCCTCTTTACAGGAAAAACATATTTATACACCTGTGCTATTAATACTCTATCAGAATATATCAGATTAGAAAAAAAGTGTTGTTTTTGAAAGATCTTAACCCTTTAAAGCTTGAACCATGAAATAATTGCCAGGAAAATCCTAATTTTTCAAAAAAGGAGTATTTATTTCACCTTCTGACGTTAAAAAATACAATTAAAAAAATGTTAATTTGTATAAATTAGTTTCAATTTGTATCATATTTGCTACACATGTTTGGCATTTGTTTTAAAATATATTGTGCAGTTTATTTGGGTTTTTTGGGAATTGAACTGATGATGCAGAAGTCTTAAAAGCTCATGTATAAAAGGAGATCTACGAGGCGTTAGGGGGTTAAATATAAAAACTTACACTCCTTCACACCAAACACAAAAACCTTGGGATTTCACCTGAGCATGACTAGGCCAGTTTTCGCACTCTTGCTGAAAGACAGATATCTGGCCCAAGTCATACCAGAGACCATATTCCTAGAAACTATGTAAAAGGAATGCTGAATGATGCCCAAAACAACAGGCAACAATATGAGAGTGGAAAGCACATTTGTTAGCCCCATCAGATAAATCTTAAAGAAATGTTTAGCAATATAATTTTTGTACTATGCAGTATTAGAAGGTGAAGTTGTAAATGCTTTAGCATCGACAGAATTCCAAGAATGGGCAACGGACCATTGAGATTTTGTGAGGCATGCTGTTCTGAGGCATGCTGATGCTGGACATGAATCAGAGGAAAGTTCAGAAAGTAAAAACAAAAACACGGCCATCTGTCAGTCATCGCTAATATTTATCTGCACGTAAGGGTAGAAGATGTGGAAGATTGTAATTCTTAGGTTACCGGGTATTTTTTCCTCTGTTTTTTAAATAGCAATGGAAAACAAATGGAAGACAGAATTATGCTATCCCAGTGGAGCTTTAACACTACAAACACAAAATTGTCTGTGATGACATCGTAAATGTTATGTCTCTTTTTTTCTGCATGAAATCTTGGACCTAATAAATTAAGGGCATAGCATAGATAAAAAAAAAAAAAGATTGTGTGATGTGATTAAATGAACAGTTAACTTCAAAAATGTTGGAACCATTTTCCATCAGTGCAATGGCCAATCTAGAATGTAATCATTTCAGCTTTTTGCCAATGACAAAAAGCTGAAACTACCACAGCACTATTAACTGCTTGGCTGAAAAATGGGAACCTCTGGTGTTATTGGCTATGGGTCAGACTCTGGCAACTAGTTTACAAAGGACTGCCAGACACAACCCGCTAACTCGGTCATGAGTTTCTTTGGACAACTTGTCAAAATGTCTGCTTCTCAACTGCACTACCTTGGGGAAAAAGAGGTAATGACAAAGGTTTCAGAATTGGGGGTCCATTCACAGGTGCAATTTGAATTGAAATGATCACAGCCCAAATACAGTTTAGAGTGTCCACCAAATACCTCATTAACCATTGAGGAATAAGTGCCATTTCTATATACAGTCAACAGAGTATGAGAGCTGGAGTTAAAATTTGATTGGACCTCACTTATGAATGCTGTCCAGTACACCCGTGCATACAGAAGTACTGTTTATTCTATGACAGTATTTAAAACTTAATTGACATAGATGACTTAAGATGCCGAAATCTGTCCTTTTCCATGGATTCATGCTCTATTACATTATTATTATTATTCCATAGCACCACACTGTGCTCTCTGATAGGTGAAAGCAAACAATGCAACACCAGTGGGACACTTTACAAAGTGAAAATGTGTTGCAGTTTTAAATTACTTCACAATAAGGTCACTTTCTATTACACTTAAAATATTTGTGTATTAAAAAATTTTTAAAAGAGTATCAATAAATCAATAATAGCCACATCCTGGAAGAAGGTCATAAAAGAACAAGAGAATAAACTTCTACATTTTGAATTTATAAAGGTCTAAAGAGGTGAAGTCACCCAGTGGTTTACAAAAGCACAATTAGTCCTAACCACATTATGGATAAGCAGCTTTGTTAAATATAATGTCGTTTTTGTGTGCATTTGCTGCTAAGGCTCTAGCACTTAATCAGAGGATATTCATCTCACCTGCAGGAATGAGTAAGGCAGGCTGGACACCTGTACTTGGCCTCCTCTGATCCGCAAACACCACAACTGCAGGACAGACAACACGTCAAACTGTGAGTGTGTTTAACAAATGAGTGAGGTTAACAAGTAACGGTGCTCAACACGCACACATAACCTGTAGTTAAGCAAGAAAATGTTTTATGTGTGACAAACTTTAGGAGATATACTTAGTATATATTAAAAGGTTATAGTAAGTGTTAATAAACGAAGAAGAAACAGAGTGAAGAGTTTGGCGATGGTGGTCTCACTTGAAGCTAACTAATAGCCTGCTAACTTCATAACTGCCTAGCATAAACATATTACGATAAGTAGCATCTGGTATGTGACAGCAGATGTATCTGCTACTCGGTTAACAAATATTAGGATTATGCCGACTCTGAGAAGTGAAGCTGAGCCAACAATCTTTACAGCAAACGCAAAATATTGTCCTAGTTTTGTGGCTGAGCTGCAGTCGGTTTAAATCGCTTACCTGGAAAGAGACATCTTTCTTTTCTTCCCTCTCTCCTCCTCTTCGGTGCTGCTATTTTCGACTTTGTTCTCCGCGGATGACTTTATGTGTGCTGTTGGAAGAATTACTGAGCTCATAACGGGAGATTTGTAGTTGCACGCGGACGAAACACACGCCGGGATCAAAACAAATGCTCTTCCGCCCCGGTGCCAGCACGTGGATACAAGTTCCGGTTGGAAAATGTGCTCATTGGCGCCTCTCGGTGTCTGCGCGTCAGAAATGCATCCCATGATCAGCTCGCCAGCGCTGTTTTTCTTGTTGTTGTTTGTTTGTTGTTATTTTTGGTCTCTGTGCCTGCCAGTGTATCCAAGCTTAAAATAGATTGAAAATAGATACGGATAATAGAATATGCAAGAAGTAAGAGCAATAATGGGTCGCTGGGCAGGATAGTAGCTACATCAGACCCTCTCACAAGCTCCAGCACTTATTTGAGTTTCTTTTCTCACGAGATTTCTATGTGTGTTTATATAGGCTGTGTTTATTAAAGGAGTGAGTGATATGAATTAAAGAAGATTTATTTAAGCTGTGTGCGTGTGTGTGAACAAGAGGGTACATGTCCATGCACCATATTCAACATCCCTCAAAAAACTGATCAGCGGTTTAGAAAGAAAAGTGAATTCATCCATCCATCAATCTTCTTAATCACTTCTCTAATTCAGGATCACAGAGAAGCTGGAGTCTATACTACCTGCACTCCCTGAACTGGTCATCCTTCTATTGTATGACCAAAACATAAAAACAGCCATTCATGCTCGCATTTGCTCCTTGATTTAGAATAACCACTTAACCTAACATGCATGTCTTTGGACTGTGGGAGGAAACCAGAAGGCACAAGAGGAAAATGCAAACTCCACACAGAAGGGCCTCAGTAGGCCACTGCATTCGGACACTATTACTGTGATTAACCTCTGCATCATTGTGAATTAATTGAATTAGTTTTATAAAATGACAGTGTCACTTTTTAAAGTTAAATAAAGACTTTGAAAACTCATCAGATCTTAACTGGAAAAAAATCGTGCTGGATATTTATACTGATGTGGACTGGGTAAATGAACGAAAGGATGCTATATCAACGGATACGCCGAAAGGTGAAAAAATGAAGCAGCAGACTAGTCCATTTTGGGGCGTGCTGAAAACATCAGAGCATGCTCCTAATGGCATGACAGATGGTACCCTGGAGGAGCTTCACTCAGATCTGTACATGACTGTGCTGCTGAACAGTGTGAGAAGCAAACTGACAAAACTTCCAGAGCTGTTCTATTGGATTTAGGTCAGGCAAGCGTGGGGGGCAGGCAATGATATTGAATCATTCATCTTCCAGGAACTGCCTGCTTCCTCTCACCACATTGTTGTGCACCAGCAGGAAGCCAGGACTCACTGCACCAGTATAGGATCTGACAATAGCTCCAAGGATTTCATCCTAATATCTAATGGCAGATGCGTCGAGATGCCAGACGATGTTACAGGCACACTCTTTACAGTTTCTCCAGACCCTTTTACGTCTGGCAGACGTGCCCAGGGTAAACCTACTCTCAACTGTAAAAAACATGAGGTGCCAATTCTGGTTTTCTATGGCAAATGCAATTAGGGCTCTACAGTGTTGGGCAGTGAGCACAGAGCCCACGGCAAGATGTCAGGCCACACGCCACCCTCATGAAATCTGTTTCTGTTAATTTGGCCGGAGACATTCACAGCAGTGGCCTGCTGGAGGTCATTTTGTAGCTCTGGCAGTGCTCATCCTATTCCTTCTTGCACAAAGGAGCAGATACAGGTCCTGCTATTGGGTTAAGGGCCTCTACAACCATTTCATCTTTCTTAGAGAAACGGTCTGTCTCGTGGAATCTCCTCCTTATCTCTTATGACTGCTGGGAGACACAGAAAACCTTCTGGCATTAGACATATCGATGTGCCATCCTGGAGTTGAACTACCTGTGCAACCTCTGTAGGGTCCAGGTATCACCTCATGTAACCAGCAGTGACACCGACCTTACCAAATGCAAAACTTGTGAAAAAATAAGAGACGACGAGGAAAAGAAAACACCTGTGGCCTCCACTTATAAAAACCATTCCTCTTGTGCAGCTCGTCTTATTGTTGCCCCACTAGTGTGCCTGTTGTTAATTTCATTAACACCAAAGCAGCTGAAACCCCCTCTGCTACTTACCTGACCAGATTAATATCCCAGATTTGATGCTGATTAAAAAGTGTTCCTTTAATATTTTTTAGCAGTGTATTTTTATGGTTGCAACATTAGGGGGAAATCTTTTACTTAAGTAACACTCTGGGTGCAGATCTCAACCTATTATTGTGCACATCTGACACTGGTAAGGAGGTATTACTCCACCACTCTTTACAACAAGTATGTCCTTCATTCAAAAAAAAGGTAACAAAACCACATGTGGATAAAATGTCCCATTTATTTGTTTCTAAAATTATTTTTTATTTACACATTTGCATCCAACTTTGTCCTCCACAAACTTTATATAATTACACTTAATTAATGGTAACATAACTTAAGAGTATGATGACTGTTTTCTGGGTTTTTTGATTTTGTCCTCCCGTAGCTGCATTTGACTTCTGAATGAATTTATAAAGCAGTATGATGAACACACAGTCACAGGTGTGCATGCACACACACACACACTTTTCAAACATAAATACTCCTCTAGACCGAGCTGTGGTTGACCAAGTAAGCAAGTTCTCAGAGTATAACTTACTGTGGTACAGTAATGTGACCAAAAATAATAACAAATCTAAAAACAAACCAAAAAAAGAAAAAAACAGGTTATAAATAAACATTGAAGTATGCTGTCAATATATACACAGGAAACGTTGCAGCACCAATGATAGGTTTCCCCTGAGGAAACTACCACATAGTAGGAAAAGCTATGAAAATATGTTGTGTATCAAAAAATGGTTCATAAATTAGAAGTGACCAAATCAACATAAGCATTCAAACAACATAACAAATTCTGATGTAACCGGTACATACAAAACAAAAGGTAAAAATGACTAATTTGACTATTTTTGAAAGCAGGTAGAGGTAGAGTACCATCTGTCAAGATGTACAGGTCCGACTGGATGGGACCGAAGACAAAAACATAATGAAAAACAATATCAAATATAGCCTCTGATTGGACAATGAAATATTTAAAGCACACACATTTTCCATATGCTATTGCACCTTTAGTTAGACAGTGCCCTCTGCAGAGGCCTGGCATGATCCTTTGGATTCGACCCCTTCCAAGGATGGTGTGTTTGGGAGTTGAAGGGGTGGAACATGAGTGAATGGCAGGTTTGAGTTTTGGGTTTTGGACAGGCTGCTGCAGTGTGAGGCCCTACCCCCGTGATCAGGAAGTAAAATGGGTCCATATGCAGTGGCCCTATGCACCTTTTGAATGAAAACTAAACAAATACTTTACACATTGATTAGATAAATATCAGTATACACTGTCCTCTTTGGCACGGGTGTTCCACAGAGACTGATTTCTCCCAGGTAGAGCTGCCTGCCGTTCGATGTTGGGTTTTTGTTAGTCTCACAGTAAGTCCTGTTGAAGCAAATGCAATAAGCTCTCAGGGATACAGTCTGCCTTGCTGTGCCAGCATCTCTTTGGTAGGAAATTTTAAAAGTCTGCGGATTTAAGTGGTTTATAAAAGTGGCTTCGATGATAGGGATGTTGGTATCAGAGGAAGCAGACTGGACCGATTTCTACGTTTCGCTGACTGCTGATTTGTGAAGTGGGAAATTCCTCTATGTCTACAAGTGGTAGCTGACCACTGTCCTGAGTATGGAAGAGGAATCGTGATTGGTGCCAGCTGCCATCTTGGATCTGGAACAGGACAAATGGGGGAGGGGAGTGGAAAGGATTGCGATTCTATTTATTTGTGGTAATGACTTTTAGTAAATACAAAAATATATATATCTTTAGGAAGTTCTTTAAAATTCTGCTGTCACCTATTTAATTACAACCAACAATTTATCACCAGCATAAAGAATATATCAGAGCATATCATCAGGATATCAGTTTACATTTTCAAATCAGTCCCAGCAAGTCATAATTTCACGAGACAGTCCTATTGATATGCAGAATTATGTGCAGGTTTCTGTAAGAATAACCACAGAAAATGCTCACGACTAAATCAAACTGCCCTAACGACGAAAACAAAGGCACGTTTTTTTAAACACCACATTACCTTGCACTCATCTTGTAGCACATGTGGTTCAAGTAGTGTGTCTTTCTCAAACATCTGTTTGTTCCAGCCACGAAACCGAAGCCTGGTGTTCTCTTTGTGTCCACTGGAGCTGAAGCTGTCTGCGGTGCTGGAGGGTTGATAACTCAGGCAGTGAAACGTGATGCTTTGGCTAGCCTCACTGCTCAGTAAATGGAGAAACTTCATCTGGACATTTCCTATGTCAAATACCATCTGTCGGAGAGAGAAAGTGCACAGACGAGGTAGATTGTGAACACCATAGCATCATGTCAAAGGGAAAACAAACCAGTTTAGACTTGGAAAAAGAACTGTTGATGCTCAGAAAGCAAGAGATGGATATGCAAAGAACTGGAGTGAGAAGTATCATCAAGAAACTTGGAGACAGCCACACAGTACAGAACAACCCTGTCAAAGGAAGGAAGTGAACATTTTCAAAGAATCTGGAAAGAAAACCAGTGAGAAATGTGTCTAAAGATCCCAGAGCAACTGCCAAGATAGCAGTGAGTTACTTAGCCAAGTCAAGAAGTAGTATTTAAGGAGACAGTAACTAGAACCCTGCACAGGAATGGACTAAGAGGTTGGAGACCAAGAAACACTGCACTTCTTCAGAAGAGACACCTTCAAGCTAGAATGAAGTATGTGAAAGACAACCTGGAGAAAGACTAAGCAGCCTAGAAAGGTGTTCTTTGCTTAGCTGAGACAAAACTAGAACTCCTTGGCTAAAGAGAGTACAAGGAATTACAACCCTCTGTCATAGTTTTATAATTTTGTGAATAATTTTGTTTCAGTGTGCAAAGTAAAATAATATAAGCATAATGCAGTAAAGCAAAATAAAACTAACTCTAAATGAATCAAAATGAACTGAATGTTAAATACTATAGTCTAAATCAGGGGTTGGCAACTCCAGGCCTTGAGTGCCGGTGTCCTGCAGGTTTTAGATGTGTCCTTGATCCAACACAGCTAATTCAAATGTCTAAATTACCTAATCAACATGTCCTGAAGTTCTCCAGAAGCCTGGTAATGTACTAATCATTTGATCGAGGTGTGTTGACCCAGGATGATATCTAAAACCTGCAGGATACCAGCACTCAAGTCCTGGAGTCGCCCACCCCTGGTCTAAAGTAAGAGTAAAAGTGTCCTTTTTTTCCCACTCGTTCAGTGTTACCTTATCAGTTGACACTGGATGTAAACAAGTCTGTCCCCCTGCTGTAAAGTTGCAGAACACCTGGAAGGCATCAGACGTACAGCCCAGGTTTGGATCAACCCAGAACCAACCTGAAAAGAGAAGAATATTAATATTAAGACCTGCTACCTGTGCAAAATAGTGTCTTCCATGTATGGGTGAAGACACTCACCGTCTTTTAACTTGTGCTGGCAGTCCAGCAGGTCTTTACAGACACGAGCTGGGTTCTCCTTTGTCCCGAGAGGCTGTTTGATGCTCTCGATCACACTGCTCAAATACTGTAGAGTCTTAAGTACTTCCGTATTCTGGTCTGGCATGCTCATCTCCATATTCTGGAAACTCTAGTTAAGTACGAGGATGATAACACTGTGAACTCTCAAGTTTTAACCTGACTTCACAAATCTACTAATCCATAACTTCTCTATCCATCCTTATAAAGTGCTTCACCTCAGTCCTCAGGGCATCATTGGAAGCGGATGGACTGTAGACTGCCAAGTCGTCATATAACACCCTCTGTGGATTAAGAATCAACATATTCAGTTCAATGAAAACAATTCAGTGCCTTCATTATTAAACTGAAAGATTTTAATCTGTCAGCTCGCTCATTGATTAAAGTAAATATGGCAGCAGAAAGACATGTCCAGTTTAGTGAGAAAACTTTAACAGCGTCAGTGTACACTTTAACACCACACAAGGGCAGAAAAATAAGTCTTGGATCAATAAACAGACACATTCTTGATTTTGGCTGCGGGAAAATTAACAAATTCCCCTTAGTATAAACACCACAGCGATCACTGAATGTGTGTACACAAAAAAGGCAGCTGAGTTGTTTGTTTAGGGGGTTCTTGGAACTGTTTGAACAGGAAAAGGTCATGTAGAGAGCAGAAAGCTGCATGATATCTGGGACAAACAAGAGTAGCCATGCCAGAAAAGGCTTTGTCAGTGCTACTGAAAAAACAATCACAGGGATCTTAGTTATTATTGACATACACCATTTGTTGGCTCATCTAGAGTAAGACAGGAAACAGGTGCTTGTCCTGGTTCGTTCATACCCTGCCACTCAGAAAAAAATGGCGTGTATTACTTCTTTTTTACTAAAACGTTTATTTAAGCTTGAAAAAGCACACATCTTAGGTTTCAGGAAAGAAGAGAAGAAAGAGAGAGATGTAACTCATTTACCCCCCCAACCACAATGAGATATAAATACCTACAGGCTAGGTAATATATATTCAAGAACTGTACATCATTACAACATCTGAATTTTACATTAAAGCAAGACTCCTGCTGTCTAGGCAATCTTGTCTGCATTACACAAAATACTTACTGTTGGACCAGGAGCTCCAGGGGGTCCCTGGGGTGGTAGAAAGAAAAGGACAAAATGAGTAACACACACACAGAAATGATCTCATTGTGGTTGCCATCATTTCACTTTTTGGTTTGTCATGTATGTGCCAATGGACTCTGTGAAGAAAATGTACACTGCAGGAAAATGGTAGAGTGTACAACCACAGAACTGCCCTAACCCCAGCTCGCCATGTGATTCTCTGAAGTCACTTCTCACTTCTTTACATTTTGCTTCCAAGGAGACAGATTTGGACTCCAGGCTTTCTGTAAATCTTTCAGAAGTTTTCTTTCGACACTGGCTGCTTGTTCACTTATTTTTAGTCTAGTTCTTGCACTTAAACATTTTTGGAGGAATGCTTTGTTGACGTTGTTTGTTTTGTCTGTTTGTTGAATCATTAAAGCATCAAAGAAGCATCTAGTGTTGTGTATAGACCAATTTTAAATTGTTGCC